ACACAGCTATGTGGAGCAATACAAAAACATACTCAAGAGTCACAGTGAACCATTCTGTTATTGGAATGGCTTTCGTTTTAACTAATTACAGACAACCCAAACTTCACAGTATTCATTAATTTTATGCTGCTGAAACAGAGCTTCAGTTTACAAACAACAGAAAATGACTTTTGTATTACAAATGCAACTTTGCAAACCGGATCTTTGATAACATCCTGGCAAGCTTTCATAAAAAAATAAAGCCATTGCTTCAGGAAAAACTCAATTCTTAACTTACCAATTCTTATCTCAGAGCTGTGACTCAATAAAGTGAGTTTTACAAGACTCACCATCTGTATACACTGTACTTCATTTTTTTTATTAGTGATACTGACTTACTATTCAAAACACTCAAGAAGTCTTAGATTCCATTTCCAGTAATTCTAAACTAGTTATACCCAAATAATGGTAAAAAAGATCAAGTTCTATCACCAATATGTGCAATTACACAAGTATTTTATATGAAACAGAAGCATCAACTCCTGCAGCAAATTTCAAATACAGTTCTTTGGTCTCGCTTCTGTTGTTTACCTGTGCAGGTGTGTCTGTTTCATTAATTGGCTGCCCATCGAACCGGAATCTGATTTGCCTCATTGACAACCCCTGGACAAAGAGAAGTAACACAAAGGGAAGTAAGCCTGGTGTAAAAGTACTCACAAGTTTTCTCTTGAACTTGTCACTGGAATTGCAGCATGATCATTAAAAGCCACCATTCATAACGCAAGATACAGTTTTCATACTCCCTTCATGCACTGTCTTTAAGGCACTTCACTACAAATCCTTGCAATCTGTTTTGTATTAAAAATTGCACTGTGTCCAATAACTAATAGAAGCAACAGTGCCCCCACTGTAAGTTAAAGCAATTTCTAGTACACAAGCCTCACCCCAAAGGCCAGGATTTTTATAGTGCTTTTTAATAATAATTCACTTAAAAAATAAATGCAACACTTGGGTTAACAAATGTCAAACAGTAATATTCCATACTCCTTTTTGATCTTGCCCCAAAGCAAAGGTATTCTAAAGTATTTTTTCCAGAAATGCAATTAGCATCTATTAGTCTGCATCAGAAAAGAGTAGGCAATGGTAACTTTTTGACCTTGAATTCCCACTAACAAAAAATCAATGGAACAAAGTTTTTCCACGCACAGCTGGAACTTTCAAAAAAAAAAAAAAAATCTTCTACTTCCAGAATCTACTGAATAGTATTTCAAACTAGCATTTCTACCACATAATAGTCACTTTGCTGACCTCTTCCATCCCCAGAAGACTACTTCTCATTCTTGCTTGAGCCAATGGATTCAAAAAGATAACTAAAGAGCAACAATCCCTTTGACTAATAACATAAGCTTCAAATTCGCAAGTTAGTTTTCAAAGGTGTTCTACAGCACACTACATTCTGCAGAGGAAGATGAATGAAGTTTGAGGATACAACCAGAACCAAGAACATTGGTGTCTACTTCTTTCCCAGTTCTATCTACTCTCTCTCTAGAGTATCTAAAAATACAAGAAGTCTAGTTGGTTTTGAAGTAAATCCAATGTATTGCATGGTGCTGCTTTGGCATCTCTGAATTGGAAAAGCAACCTTTGTTTAGCCATGCAAGAGCAGATATAACACACAAAAGAAAACTTAATGTAGTAATTATTTTTTAGAAGTTGATTTGTCAGGAAAAATATTTTAATAAAGAATACGAGTGAACTTTTTGGTAAGACTTTATAGTTCACAGCAAAACGCCTTCTCTAGCGTGACTAAGATTCTGCAGTGTTCACTCAGAACATCATCTTAAGAAAACCATGTGGCTAAGTGTCATGGCAGCAACACATTTTTGCACAGCAACATTTGGTTTGAGCCATCTTCTCCAACATTGTGTTTCTTAAAATATGTATTTCCTATTCCAAAAGTGTTGGTTTTTTGCAGGTTCCTGACAACTTTATGAGCTGAATAAATGCTAGCTGAATAGCCTTCATCTTCTAAACGTATCATTCAAGGTTTAGTTACTTCCATTTTAGGTCTACTACATGCAATACATGATTTTCATTCTTTAAAGCTGCTAAATTCTCTATTATACGCAGCTTCCACCTCTCCAAAATTAAATCTGAAGTCCGCAGCTTAAAGATTTTAAGATTGGGTATGCCTAGTTAGGAACACAAACAAAATCTAATTTTTAGAGATATGCAGAACAAATGCTTTTAAACAAAGTTTGAGAAGTAACCACCCAAGAAATAAAATTAAAGACAAGTCCATCTCCACAGAAATATCCTTTCGATACCTACTAGCTTAAAAACAAAATCAGAAGAAATATCTCCCATTCAAAAGATTTTTTTTTTTCTCTCCAACTGACACCTGCGTTTTTCTGTTTTTGTTTGGGTTTTTTTTTGTTTTGTTTTGTTTTTTGTTTTTTGTTTTTTTTTTAAGGCAAATTATAAATTTAGGCAAAAAGTTTTAGATTCTTACTTTTGTTTGTGTCCAGGTAACTGAAGTATGCATGGTACTTCTAAAATCATCCTTCCCAGGACTTTACAAACAATTAACCAATCCTCAAACTCCCAAAAAGACAGATATAACTGCACTTTATGTTTGGAAAAAGCAATACACAGTGATTTACATAATATGAGTTTGTACAACAGAGGTAGGAAAAATGAGCCTACAGCCTCAAGCATTCCCTAATGTATCCCCAGAATACCCATACAAGAACGTATTCACATGTTGAGTAAGAGCTGATTTTCCCTCTTTATTCATATCACTCTCCTATTGCGGCAAAGGGTAAACCGAAGAGGTTTTACCACTCTGTATGTGAATTAGAGTTTGTTTTTCGTGGTGGTGAAATAGTTACCTCAATATTTTATACTGATTTTATTGCATTTGATTGTATCACTGAATATTTGTGTTTAAAAAAAACCCTTCCCCAATTCCAAACACTTTTGTAGATATGGAATCTTTTAAAGGCAGACATTCATTAAAAAATCATGGACAGCGCAGACAAAATTTTCCTAATCAAAAGCTTCAGAATAAAGTGTTAAATAGCACTACTGTTATACAGGCATTTTTAAAACTTGCAATAGCCACCCACAACCTACTAGGTTGGCTGCAGTTGCCACTACACTAGCAAAATACATTTTTTTTGTCCCTCGGAAGATTAATTTGACAACTAGGCCACAAGAGAAAAAACAAAGCTCACCATTAAATGTACAAGTTCCTTCTCAAGCTAGACATTATAACAGCTCTAAACCCTGAAATACTCATTGATAGTCTCTCATCTCAATACAATAATACTAAGCTAATAAATCAGAAGTCTATGACCAGACCAAAAACTTACTCAGAGTTATAAAAATAGTTCTGATTATCACTCAACTCTCTATCCTAAGTTCGTACTGCCAGTTCCTAACCCACCCTTTTCCATACTGGTATTTTTGAGCAGTAGAGTTAGCAGTTGCCTCCCAAGAGCCTACACCTATAACGCAGCTTTCAGAAAGATAACAACAGATCTTTATTTTACTCACTTCCTGTCACAACCCTGTCAGTCCACTCTATAACAGATCCTAAGAACAATACACTTTCCACAACACAATCAGTTTCTGTTAAGTCTTTATCATTTTGCATATTTACATAGTTTAAAGACTTTACTGTCTTCATCTATCTCTATGGAGATCACCTCTCCCCCAGACACCAGTTCTCCTGATCATACAAGAACCATACCTGTCGTTCACAATAGGCTTTCATTAGTTTACTAAGTGGTGTATGCCTCTTAATCTTAAACTGCACCACAGACCCATCTTGCCCTGCCACCTTCAGATTAATGTGGTCATTGTTTTCAGTCTTCACTCCTTCCTGTTGAGGAAAAAAAACAACACTTTTTGAAAAGGTATGAAACAAGAAGTTAACATTTTATCAAAGTGCAACAGCTCATTAAAAAGGAGGAAATAAAGATATTATAGCTGTTTACCAACTCGACACTTTGAATTAGGAAATAAAGGTCAGTACTTTTTATTTGGAAAAAAAAAAAAAGGCCACACGCGAAAAAACCCAAAGCCTACTAATATTAGTTGTCATTCTTGAGATTGGTTAAGATGCAAAGTAGCAGTGAAGACTTACTAGGCCAGTTGTTTTACAACAATTTAAAAAAAAAAAGTTATTTCTATCAAGGGCATAATACGTAACACTACAGTTCCCAAACAAAGAAATAAAGTTATTTATGTTATAACTATGATCTCAACCACTAGCATGTCTCTTTCTTACTATATCTCAAACTTTTTCAGATCAGTCGAGGTACTTGGGAAGAAAACTTCCAAGATACTTTAAAGGACTGTATTTGAAAAGGTGACAACATCTGAAAAGAACCAAGCTTTCTCCTTCAGAAAGGGTTTAAGAGAAAACCCTCCTAAATAAGCAGTCCGATCCTCTCACTTCCATTAGAAGCCACGCGCAGAAATTGCAGAGAAGCAACTTTCAACTCCACTGCTCGTGTTCTGATCCAGAGTGTTAACAGCAGAGGCAAAGAGAAGATTCAACGCTACCCAGCTCCTAGGCAGCACCCGCTCCGGAGGTGCCCAGCAGCATTTTCATCTTTGTTTTCTTTAGGAGAAGCAACCCGAGGCCAGAGAAGCAACGAGGGTGTCGGATGGCCCCGGCCGGGCTGCGGGTCCCCGCCATGTGACAGATCCCCGCACGCCGCGCTCCAGGCCACGGCCCCGACACACCGGCCCGCCGCCGTTTATTATTTTCTGGCGCCTTCAAACTCAGTTTAAAAATAGAGGGGGGGCGGCCCGACCCAAAAAAAAAAAAAAAAGAACGGCGGCGTTGGCTGGTTGTGGGTTTTCTCGCTGTGGTTGTTTTTTTTTTTCAATTCCTGCTGTAAAGCGAAGCTCCCCTCCGCCCGCAGGAGCCTCCCCCCCCCACCCCGGGGCAGCCCCTCCCGCGGGCAGGGGAGCCGGGGCGAGAGGCAGCACAAAAGGGACAGGGAGCGATGCCCGCCCGCCCCTCCCGCGGCGGAAAGGCCCCGGCGCGCTCCTGCCAGCACCGTATGGGAAGGTGCTGGCAAGTGCCCCAGCGAAGGGCTGGATACGAGCGGGGATGCTGCGCCCGAGCCAGCCCCGGCCACCGCCAGCCGCGCAGGGGAGGCCGGATCCGGCCCCGCGAGGAGGAGGAGGAGGAGGAGGAGGAGGAGGAGGAAGGCAGCGGCAGCAACCGCCTCCGGACCTGCCTCTCTCCCCGAGGAGGGCGGGAAGGGAGCCCGGATTCGCCCCCCTCGGCCCCCCCCTTTC